TTGAGGGAAATTGGAAGGGGAGGTGAACCATGAGAGACTATGGACTCTGAAAAACAACCTGAGGGTTTTGAAGGGGCGGGGGGTGGGAGGTTGGGGGAACCAGGTGGTGGGTATTAGAAAGGGCACAGATTGCATGGAGCACTGGGTGTGGTGCAAAAACAATGAATACTGTTACGCTGAAAAGAAATAAAAAAAAATAAGGGCATCAAAAAATATATATATATACATGGTACTTGTCATAAAATACCAGAATTGGCATATCGTTTCCATATGATCCTATCCAACTTCCTACCCTGTGAACATCTCAGAAAATGATCTCACGACCTCTTTGGGAAGTCACTCACTTTCAGCACTGGAGTCTTCACTATCACTCAACTCGTTATGTTTGATTATAGAAAATTATCACCAACATAAGGTCTTAGAGTTTAATATCCCTTTGGCTTTTAGGGACAGAGAAACAAGAAAAGGAGGTAAGGAAAGAGAAGCAAGGAAGGGAGTGAGCTCTGCCTTTGAAATATCTATCACCATGCTCTCCCTTGGCTGTGGACTTCAGGTAACTCCTAGCCTAACCCCCAAGATATACCTGAGTTGGCAGAGAAGGGGGAGGGGAAAACAAGGAACTGGAAAAGAATGTTAAGGGAAAGGAAAACACTATGAAAATGCAAAAAAAGTAAGGAAGAGAGGGAGGGAGGGAGGAAGAGGAAGAGGCCATCCCATCATGACTCCAGTGTTCTTTTACCTCACAGTATTGTTCATTCTCTGAGGGACCATCACAAAGTGAGACACCTTTATGCTACTTGAACTTAGAATGAACTCAAATCTGCCTCCTTGTAAGCCCCATCCATCAGCCTGGTGTCCTGCCCCTTGCATCAGCTAGTTCATGGTGATTCTTCTCCTTCCATGGTAAAGTCCTTCAAAGGTCAACAGTCAAGTTACATCTATTCTGGTATTTCTGCTAATTAGCCTAGTTACAGACTTCCTATGACATGGTTTCTAGTTGTTTTCACACTGGAGACACATAACCCAGACAATGAAATGTGCCAGTGTCACTTCTAAAAGTAGATCACCCTATTACACAACAACAAATCAATCCACTTGGTAATTAAAACAAATCTATTTCCCACACTGAATACTATACTTCAGCACCTTACTTCTCACTCTTTGCCCTTCACAGTTTCTCTAAGGGGTTGTATACTTTTCTAGCCATCACTTTATTGATACTTTTACTTCTGGTTTCTACCCTGCCTCAAAAATGTTCTCATTAAACAGTCAATAACACACAATGCCCCAAATCTGTTGGGTATTTTTCAGCTCAAGTGTTTTTGAAACCTCAGTAGAATTTAATATATATAAACATCCCCCTTTCCTTGAAAGGAACCCGAGTTCCAAACACAGTATTGTTTGGGTTCTTGTTTCTCTGTCTGCTCTGCATCAGACTCCATGTCTGTTCATAGACTGTACTATATTTAAAAAGTTAGGTTCCCTGGAGTCTGTTTAAGGAGCATTTATATTCCCAGTGATCTCAACTACTCCTATCTAACAATAGGAGAGATGGAGCGACTGCCAAGAGGAAAAAAAATGAGAAGGAATGAGAAGTGAACCTGTTTAACACTGCTGAAAATTGATAAATACTGGAGAGGAAAGTCTGCTACATTTCATTACCTTACCAATTCAGAGGAATGGTGGACCCTAACACTTAACTGGATGAGTTTAGAAGAGTAGAAGAGGGGAAATCGTAAGGACTCTGAGTGGTTACTGACCATACTCTCAGAAACTTGGCTGTGGCTGAGGGAGAAGAGAGAAGGACAGTAGCAAGGAAGTCAAGGAAAACTGTTCAGGTCTTTTTCAAAATGTGAGTCACACAAACCCATATATATACATTGATGAGAATAAACCAGGAGATGGGGGAAGTCGATGGCACTAGAAGAGGGAATAAAAGGGAAGACTTTGACAAGTGCAGTTAGGATCCACAGCCTGAGCTGAAGAGCTGACCTAATATGAGGCCTGAGGCCACTGATCCAGGAAGCCAAGCAAGTACTAAGTGGGCGCAGAGACCAAAAGTAAGTAGATTTGGTGAAAGGCAGAGGAGGAGTCTGCAGCCAACTGTTCTAATTTCTCAGTGAGGTAAGAGGCAAGATCATGATTTGAGACTAGATGGTGGGGATCAGGTGTTGACAATGTGAGGAAAGCAGAAAATATGTAAAATACAATTTTAAATTTAGGGCAAGCACACATATTGAAAAAGTACAGTGTCCTCTGAGACATTATGGAACCCTCAGTAGAGAATGGGTTCGTGAATTCAAAAGTAGAGTAGCCACTTGACTATGTATCCTTTCCCCACCTTTGCCTTAGTCCAGTGTAGACAAGGAGTACTCGGGTAGTTGACTTTAACCAGGTCTGGAGTTTGTCAGGTGAGGCCGACAAAGAGGAGGCAAGGGAATTGTATAAATCAAATGAGAAGGATTATAATGTTGGATCATATTATCTAATCTGACTAAGAAAAAATGTGTGGTTAGATGGAGAGTAGAAAAGTAAGAAAAACTGATAGGGGAAAAGTTTGGGCATCTCCATGAGCACAAGAAATTATTTGAAATGGAGCATTCTTGGTTAGGAGCCATAAGGATAGGAAACACTGGTCAGAGAATGGAAAAAAAAAAAAAAACAAGATTTCAAGCCACACTGTTGCTGGATATCAGTGGTGTATGCATAGGCAGAGATAGGAGGAAGTCAATGAGCTGAGAGGTCAGGCTGCTGTCTCAGTTGTGTTTAAGGATATTGGAGGAAGTACCAATGGTTCCAGGAGTAAGACAGAGACGAGGAACTTGGTGAGTCTGGTGTTGCAGTCTTCAGTGGACAAGGGGAAGTGACCAGAAAGTTAGGATGATGACAGCAACAAGCAGAAGTACTAGGGGGTATTTATTGCCTCATGGCGTGAATTTCAAGTAGCTGGATGTTAAGAAGAGACACAGAGGAGGAATCATTGAAAATGGCAACTAAGAGCAAGAAGTATATCTATTCCAAGTCTCAGAGAAAAGTATGTTGAGAGGGGGAAAAAGAGCCTACAGGTGAGGGGGAAATCAGTGTTTTCAGGGAAAAAGCAGGTTTTGATCCAAACACTAAAGTGAAGGGAACTTGGAGGACATAAGAGAATTTGAAAATGATGGGCTCCAACTTCCAGCAGGGTCTGTAGAACATTTTGGAAGAGCGAGATGAGGGGGACAGATTAAGCACTTGGTAGTTAATGAATGGCTCAAAGGATTCAGGATCAGCCCTGAAAACTGAGATCCTGAGGGCTTCTTAGAAGACAGAAATTCAATCAGAAAGTCATGGGGTCATGAGGCTACTGACTTCTCAGCAGTTCTCCATGATGAGGCAACCAGGAAGATAAACGAATTCCTCTTTAACAGGAATGTCTTCCTGGGCTCTTCCTCAGAGAGGACTCTGGCTCTGCTCATCATTCCAGGGGAACCCTGTTCCCCTCTCCCTCATCTTTTTCTGTTCTGGCCATGATGGGATTTTTCTCATGCCTCAAAGATGCCATGTTTTCTCCTACCTCAGTATGTACACTGACCCAAGCAATCTCTCCACATTCTTCCTCTGAGAAACTCTTACTCACCCTTCAGCTTTCCATCTAAGTATGATTTCCTCTTCTACACCAATTCCACAATTCCACAGCACTTTCTAACTCTTCATGAAATTTCTGCCTAATGACAGTTTTCAACACTGAACTGTAAGCTCCATGATGGCAGAGACTACATTTTCTTCTCTTCTCCATTCTCCCACCTGCAGCATAAACTTGTGCATACAAGGCACTCAGTTACTATCTACCAAAAGGCTGACTGGAGGGCTAGTCCGATTGGTGTGGATACACTCCAGAGTAAAGTTACCATTAGCTTAAGAGACAAAACAATCAGGGTTGATTCCTTACTTGGCCCCTTATTTACTTGAACGTGTTGGGATATCACTTAACTATTCCTAACTAGTTGGCAATTGCTTAGAAAGTTTATCAGGGTATTGCTTGTTTCAAAGCAATCCTTCTGGTATTGTTCATGTAAACTGCTATTGACACCAGTTTCCTTATTTTTTCCTGTGAAATGAGATTGGAACATGTAAGTTAAATAATCATCCAAACTTCATGTTGTACTTTTACCTTAAACTCACCCTATGATTTGAAGATAAAATCTCACTAACAACATCCTACAGGACTGGGACAGACACATGGAAACAGTAAATTACCTGCACAGGAGATATAAGCTTCCTCTTGTGAAGAACATGAGTTGCGTCTCCAGGGGTCAGAAGGACATTGCCAGAGAGAGGAATCGGTTTTCCGACACTGGATTTGATCCACCCACCGAAGTCTAGAACCTTCCCTGGGAACTATGGAATAGCTGGCCGTCCCACTGTCTCCACAGCCAAGATGTCTACAGATGATGGACAAGGTGATGTCTGCCATGGGGCTGCGGCAGACACTGCCCCAGGTCCCATTGTAGAAAACTTCCAGCCACCCAGCACACTCCTGGTCCTCGCTCACCATCCTGAGCTTCAGGAAGTCTAAATTGGAAGGCGAGAGAGGGGGAAAGAGTCCACAGTAAGCAATCCATTCAGTGCCCTTGATTTTTTTTCTCCATGCCAGAGACTATTAACACTCATCCTGACTCGCCTGAGGAAGGACCCACTAGGTGGCAAGACTGAAACTAACCTCCCTTTTACCTGATTTTGTGTGTTTGTGTCTGGGTTTCTATTTCCCCCACAGCGATGTAGTAGAATATGAACAGAGAAGAATAGCCACCTGGGCACTCTACCCAGAGGGAAAGCTGAATCCTGCTTCCTGACAAAACTTCCGGCAGAGTATATGAAAGGGAGTGTGGAAAGTGGGGTGATAAGCAGAATAATGGCCCCACAAAGGTGTTGTGTAAATATGTTACTTTACATGGCAAAAGAGACTTTTCAGACATGATTAAGATAAGGACCTTAGGATTGTGAGATTAACCAGGAGTAGTGCGGGTTGACCAGCTAAGCCCAAATCCAATCACCTCTTTAGATCTACTATCCTTAAAAATGGGAAATCTTTGCAACTTCAGTCAGAGGGAAATTGAGTGAGGAAGAATGGTCAGAGGAAGGCAAATTGTTTTCAGCCTGAAGATAAAGAAAGGGATCTATCCCTCAGCCAGTGAATGCACATGGCCTTCGGAAACTAGAGAAGACAGGGAAAAGGAATCTCCCCCAGAGCCTCCAGAAAGAATGCAGCCCTGTTGACACCTTGATTTTAGTCCAGTGAGACCCTTGTTGGACTTCTAATGTACAAAACTATACATTGATAATTTGTGTTGTTTCTACCACTCATTATATGGTAATGCATTTCAACAGCAATAGGATCTCAAGACTTTACCACCAAAGAAAGCTGAAGATCGAGCCCTGCTTTCAAATGGAAACTGTAGGAAATGGCTCTGTCAGGAGCTCTTGCTGTGAAGGAAGGACCTGAATCTCAGATGCCACAGGAGGAAAAGAAAGCACCTAATCTTTATATCTAAAAAGACAGGCAATGTGGAAGGAAGTCTTCTCCTCTGGCCCTTTCAGCAGCACCCCTCAGGGCTCAGACTCCCATCCTCCAGAGCCCACACCTCCTTTCCCAGCTTGTAGACAGAACGCAGGCAGACCTGAGCAGATGACCCCTGCATCCTCCTTGTGTCTGCAGTCATGTTGTCCCCAGCCCCGGGAAGGACACTTCCAAATGTGGGACTCCTTTCCTGTACACTCCAGGTTGTCCAGCCACATAGGGCCCAGTCCCTCCCCGAAGTGTGCAGAGACCGTGGCATTGAGGGCTTCTCCACAGTCCAGCTGTCTGCACACCACGTGGGCATCACTCAGGTCCCAGCTGTCATCACAGATGGTGCCCCAGGAGCCCTGGTGAAGGATCTCCACTCTGCCGGCACAAGGACCGCCTCCGTCCACCAGGTGGAGCTGTCTGCGATCTGAGGAGAGAATCAAGCCACTGGAGCATTTCACAGGAAAGGAGAAAGACTTTCTTGCCCCTGGGATCCCTTACCTGAGCAGGTGGCTGCACTCTCCTGTGAGACTGCAGAGCCCTCAAGTTCAGACACAGAGTCGTTGCACTGGGGCAGCACCTGGGTCTGGTTTCCTGCAGAAACAGCATGGTCAGAGGGTTAGGAAGGTTGAGGAACAGGAAACTGAATTAAACTCAAGAGTAACCTAGTGCTGGGGTCTGAGATGAAAGCTGAAACATAGCAGCAAGTCTACTAGAATTGTAGATTTCACCTCTTTACGGAAAGTTCTGCTTCTGACAACGCCAAATTTTTGTTATGCAGGGTTAGGAACCAGAAAACTTATACATGCCGTAATACTGAGCATTTACTGAAGACAAATGAAATGTTTGTCTTCAAAAGGACTTGAATAGGCATGTTCATAGTATCTTTATCCGTAATAGCCCCAAACTGGGATGCCACCTAAAATATGTGACATTCTTGAAACAAAGTAACAGGCAGAAGCTGGATGGGCTGGGTCCATGCTGTCAATGAGGACTTAAGGTGGTAAGGAAAATGTGACTGGAAGCTGGAGGGGAAATGAGCAGTGATCTGTGTTAGTAAATTAACATATAGTTGCTTTAAGTGACTAGATTGGGAAGAAATTTATTATGCAATAGTAACCAGAATATACCTTCCATCAGTCTCAGTAACTGAGAGCAACCAACAAAATCAGTCAGTAAATATTTATTTACCTCAAACCCACAGAATACACATTATTCCCAGGGCATACAGCTCATTTAGCAAGGCTGATCACATTTTATACTCCCCCCTACATACACACACAAAATGACATTTTAAAAATCATTAAATTTGTTTTTTGAAAACAATTTTGAAAAATCATTAAAATGTGTTTTTTGAAAAAAAATATATATACATATATATATTTTGACCAAAATAGGATTAAGCTGGAAACACAGGATTTATACTGTACAACAAAGTAAGGAAGATCAGTGTTCAGTGGTTGACTTTGCTAATACTTTCAATTTCTACTTTGAAATCAGCCAAATCCCAATTTGCATTCAGGCAGGATGGTATGTAACACCAATTTACCATTGCTTCCACTATATTTAATTCTCCTGATTATGGCCACAACTCAAATTGAAAGGAGAGTCTACATAATAATCGGCCTGTATTCTTTAAAAAGTTGATGTCATGAAATACAAAGAGAGATTCAGGAAGTGTCCCTGATTAGAGAACATTGAAAGGAAGACAACTGAAGGCTGCATATTTCCTCAACTCTTTTTTTGTTGTGAAGTACATATTAGGGACAGTTGGGAGATTCTGAATCAGACTGGAAAATAGAATTACAACAATGGTAATCTGTCAGAAGATGAATGGATAAAGAAGATGTGCCATATATAATGTAATATTATTCAGCCATGAGAAAGAAGGAAACCCTGCCACTTGGGGCAACAGGGATGGATAGTGCAGGCATTAGACTAAATAGGATAAGCCAGAAGAAGAAAGACAGGTACTACATGATATCATTTTTATGTAGAATCCAAAAAAAAAAATCAAAATCAGTATGATGCTAATAAGCAAAATAAGTCAGAGAAAGACAAATACCGTATGATTTCACTCATATGTAGAATTTAAGAAACAAAACAGATGAACAAAAGGGAAGGAGAAAAAGAGAGAGAAGCAAACCGTAAGACTCTTAACTACAGAGAATAAACAGGGTTGATGGAGGAAGGTGGGCGGGGAGAAGGGCTAAATACATGATTGGCATTAAGGAGGGCACCTGTGATGAGCACTGGGTGTTGTAAGTGATGAATCACTAAATTCTATGAACTAGAATTTAAATAAAAATTTGAAAGAGAACCAAAATCAAAATCATAGAAATGTGGAGTAGCATAACTGTTGCCAGCAGCTGGGGGATGAGGAAGTAGGGAGAGTTGTGTAAAAATGTACAGACTTCCAATTATAAATCAGTTCTGAGGGCCTCATGCATAACGTAGTGACCATAGTTGATAACACCGTATTGTATAATTGAAATTTGCTGTAAGAGTCTAACTTAAATGTTTCACACATACACAGAAAGGTAAATTTATGAGGCCATGGCTGTGTTAATTAACTAGAATGGGGGGAATCCTGTCACAAAGTATATGTATATCCAGTCACCTCATGGTACACTTGGATGGTCCTACGGTTTTGTCAGTTATACCTCAATCAAGCTGAAATTTTAAAAAATTTTTGCTAAGAAATTGTCCATTTTGATTGAGATTGGAGTTAATTTACAGATGAACTTTGAGGTAGCTGACTATATTTAATATTTTCAATTCAGTTATATGGTTCATTTTAAACATCTTTAATCTCTCTTGGTGGTTTATGTTTTTTATCTTATCAGGACTAGTACATCTTTTCATTTTATCATCTTTTTATTGATACTATTTGCTAATATTAATTTTAAAAATTTTGTATATATTTTGTACATGATATTGTATCCAGCAATGTTATAATTAGACTGTAACTGCTAGTAATCTAACTACAGATTCCTTTGAGTTTTATGCAATTGTGCATTTTTTGCAATCATGTTGTAAATTTTATTTCTTCCATTTTAGTTCTTATACATTTAAATATTTTTGCCCCCCAGTAAATTGTTGGATTAAAACAGTAATAGATATTAATATCATCTCCCTCATCCCAGGGAAAAATATTTCAATATTTCACCATTAGTGTGACATTTGCTCTGGGTTTTTGTTATATGGTCTTTAACAGACTGAAGAAAACTTCTATTTTCAATGCGTTAAGAGATGTTATCATGTATCATTCTTGAATCTTTCCAAATGCCTTTCCACATCTGATGAAAAGATTGTGTGATTCTTTTCTTGTTTAGTTTTGTTAATTGGTACATCTTATACTAACTGCATTTCTGGGACAAACTCTATCTGGTTGTGGTGTATTCATTTTTTTACATCTCCAGATTTAATTTGCTTACATTTACTTCATGAATTTTGAATCCATAAAGAAAAAGTGGTCTGTAATTCACCTTTCTTCTAATATCCCAGCCAGATTTTTATATTTATGGGTCCCTTCTGATATTTACAAGATTTTTGCAACTTTTCTGTAAGGTTGTGTTTGTTTAAAAATAAAAAGTTTAATGCAAAGGAAAAAAAGAATTAATACCCAGTCTTCCAAAAAATTTAAAAAGAGAGAGAGAATAATTCCTGCCTCACTTATAAGAGTTGGAAAAGTATGTCTGTAAGAGGTGGTAAGCTCATGAGTCTCTTATGTCACCATCTTGGACAAGATCATCAAGCTCTTTTTGGTGAAAAATAACAAGCTAATTATAAAATTCATATGAAAAAAAACAAGAATGATCAACACTGATCAACAACGATCTTGAGAAGAAAAACAATGAAGTTAAAGGTATAATTTTACCACTTATCAAGACATACTACATGGACATTGAGGAGGGTATGTGCTATGGTGGGTGCTATGGTGAAGTGTGTAAGCCTGACAATTCACAGACCTGTATCCCTGGGGTTAATAATACATTATATGTTACTAAAAATTTTTTAAAAAGACATACTACAAAGTTATAATAATTACTGAACTGGGGCATTCATGCCAGAATAGACAATGATACAATAGAAGAGATTGGAATCCAGAAGATGACCCAGCTATACTGTAGACTCATTATGACCAAGGTGGCGCTGTAGTGGGGAAAGTGTCTTTTTAAGGAAGGATTCTGAATGGCTAAAATTAACAAGTCAAGGAATGACAGATGCTGGCAAGGATGCGGAGAAAGAGGAACGCTCCTACACTGTTGGTGGGAATGCAAGCTGGTGCAACCACTCTGGAAAACAGTATGGAGGTTCCCAAAAAGTTGAAAATAGAGCTGCCCTACAACCCAGGAATTGCACTACTGGGTATTTACCCTAAAGATACAAATGTAGTGATCCAAAGGGGCATGTGCACCTGAATGTTTATAGCAGCAATGTCCACAATAGCCAAACTATGGAAAGAACCTAGATGTCCATCAACAGATGAATAGATAAAGAAGATGAGGTATAGATATACAATGGAATACTATGCAGCCATCAAGAGAAATTAAATTTTGCCATTTGCCACAACGTGGATGGAACTAGAGGGTATTAAGCTGAGTGAAATAAGTCAATCAGAGAAAGACAATTATCATATGATCTCCCTGATATGAGGAGTTTGAGAGGCAAAGTGGAGGGTTTGGGGGGTAGGAAAGGAATAAATGAAACAAGATGGGATCGAGAGGGAGACAAACCATAAGAGACTCTTAATCTCACAAAACATACTGAGGGTTGCCAGGGGTAGGGGGGTAGGGAAAGGGTGGTTGGGTTATGGACACTGGGGAAGGTATGTGCTATGGTGAGTGGGTGAGTGCTGTGAAGTGTGTAAACCTGGCAATTCACAGACCTGTACCCCTGGGGCTAATAATACATTATATGTTAATAAAAAAATAAAAAATTATAAATTAAAAAAAGGAAGGATTCTGAGCCTATTGGATATTCATGTAAAAATATGAAATTTGATCCCTATCACATATGAAAACCAATTCCAGGACTGTATAACAAAATGTGAAATAAAGATAACTAAACCATAGAGGAATATCTTCAGGATCTTAGGGCAGACAAAGTTCTCTTCAAAGGACATAAGAAGCAGTATGTGGGGGGAAAAAAGTTGATAAATGGAGCCTTATTAAATTCAAGAACTTGGCTTATCAACGAACACCATTAAGAGAGTAAAAATGAAAGGGCAAGAGTTAAACACCCAAAATAAATACATACATATTTATACCACAAGTCATTGTCACAGTTATCTGCAACATCACTATTTGTAATCACTGAGAAGTGGAAATAAATAAAAACTCCACCGTCAGTTGATGGATCAATAACTGGTCACATGGGTCATTCAATGGGCTATGTCACAATAATAAAAATGAGTGAAACACAGTTATAAACAACTACATGCATGAATCGCATACACAGTATGGAATCAAAGAAGTTAGATGAAAAATGAAACATACTATATGATTTTATATAAACTTCAAAATAGGAAAAAACTATTCTATAGCATAGAAATGAGGAGACTGGTTTTCTTCAGACAGAGGGGTGGGCATAGGGACCGGTAGGGTATGAACATGGCTTCCGGGGTGCTGCTAATGATCTCTTTGTTGATCTGGGTTGGGGTTACACAGTATTCATGTTGTTATGATTCATTAAAGTACATGCTTACTACTTACAGACTTTCTCTGCAAATAATACTCAGATATTTTTTTTCAATTCTTTCTAATGCTTTTTTTTTAATTCTTTTCAGCCTAACAGTATTCATTGTATTTGCACCACACCCAGTGCTCAATGCAATCCGTGCCCTCTCTAATACCCACCACCTGGTTCCCCCAACACCCCACCCCCTGCCCCTTCAAAACCCTCAATTTGTTTTTCAGAGTCCATAGTCTCTCATGGTTCACCTCCCCTTCCAATTTCCCTCAACTCCCTTCTCCTCTCCATCTCCCCTTGTCCTCCATGCTATTTGTTATGCTCCACAAATAAGTGAAACCATATGATAATTGACTCTCTCTGACAGATATATTTAAATAATAGGGTTAATTTTTAAAGATATCCCTCTTAACATTCCTTGCCTTGAACTGAAAGGCAAATGAACAACAAAAAGAACCATGTTTTATCATGGATTATCTCATTTTTAAAATAATTTTTCCACAATCTCTGCTCTTAAGGACATTTCACTCAAGAAGCATCCTGATTACCAGTTAGTCCTTTCCTCTCTCTTACCTGAGCAGATCACTGAGGCTGTGTTTCCACGGGTACAACTAGGAATGCCCAGGGCAGTCACAGTGCAATTCCACAAAAAAGACTCAGTCCCTGAGCAGTGAAATCGAGCTTCCCAAATTTTATCACCTCCTTCCACAGAGTATGCTCCTTTTGGAGTAGAGATGGCAACTCCACAGCCAAGCTGTTGACAAACAACATTGGCATTGGCCATATTCCAATGTGAGGCACAGAGCGTTTTCCACTGTCCAGAAATATGCATCTCCACTTGTCCCTCACACTGAGAGATGCCATTTTTCATGAGCCGGACTTCTGTGTACACTAATGGGAGAAGACAATATTTCAGACAAATCTCATGTCTTTTTTACCCCAGGAGAGTATGTGGCAAGGTTGAAGTCCCACTCTGCATCTCACCTGAACAGAAAACTTGAACAGCCCCATGGTGGCATGCATCTCCTGGACAGGAATCGCTGTGGCAAAACCGGAGCCTAGGTTCATGCCCCTTACACTGGAATTCATTAGGCCAGACTCTATCTGACTCTCTGATAGACATGTCCTCCAGGAAATACACAGCTTTGCCACATCCCAGCTCTGCACAGATGACCTGGGCAGTGAGTAGCGTAAAGTTCCCATCAGACAGTGGAACCCAGTCTTTTCCAGAAAGAACTTCTACCCGCCCTAAGCAGGGTCCATCCCCTCCAGCTAGACGCACAAATCCTAAAAGAAAAAAGAAAACCAAACCAAGTAAGTGTTCATGATTCTGGTTTGGCAATTAGAAGTGGCAAGTCATGCGTGATAGTATATGACCATTACATGTCATAATTAAAAGTTTTCATTTTCCCAGGCAGTGGGAAGGAGAGGAGGACTTAACAGTTGGTATCAGAATGGGACCTCCCTGAGTCAGTTTCTGAAGACAAGATTATTTGAAGTAGCTGAACACTAGGAAAATATATTTTGGGGTTGGTTAGAGAAGCAAATTCCTCATCTGAGCCCAGTTAAACTGCATAATATGTAGGCATTCAAACCTGACTACAGAGGTATAAAGATCAGAACCAACAGAAGGACATGGGCTATGAGGGGGTAGAAATCTATCAGCCAGACAAGGTTAGAAAGTCATCCTAAGACTTCTGGGGCTCAAATTCTGGTCAACTTTCTTTCCTAGGAGCCCAATCCTCAAATGACTGAGGATAAGAAAAACCATGAGATCTGTATCCATGAATGCATGACAGCCTGCAGACAGACTGATACCTTGATATTAGAAATATAGACATTATAACTAATCCATAGTTGTGATTCCAAATCTTATCTGATAATTTTTTATGCCAAAATATTCCATGAACAACTTAGGTGACCTAAGTGGGAAAGAACATGAGTCTAGATGTTAAGAAAGCTCAAAGTCAGGAGAGGAAGGGCATGGTTCCAGCCATCTCTCTTGAAACCCTAGGATATAAGAATAGCCACCTTCCAATCCATGAACACAAGATAACTTTTCCATTTATTTGTATATTCTTTCATTTTCTTCATAAATTTTTTAATTTTTAAAAGAGGGGTGCCTGGGTGGCTCAGTGGGTTAAAGCCTCTGCCTTCAGCTCAGGTCATGATCCCGGGGTCCTGGGATCAAGCCCTGCATCGGGCTCTCTACTCAGCAGGGAGCCTGTTTCCCCCTCTCTCTCTGCCTGCCTCTCTGCCTACTTGTGATCTCTGCCTGTCAAATAAATAAATAAATAATCTTTAAAAAATATATTAAAAGAGTGAGCATTTAGGGGTGCCTGGGTGGCTCAGTCATCAAGCATCTGCCTTCTCCTCAGGTCATGATCCCAGGGTCCTGGGATCAAGCCCCACATTCGGGCTCTCTGCCCAGCAAGAAACCTGCTTCTCCCTCTCCCACTGTTCCTGCTTGTGTTCTCTCTCGCTATGTCTCTCTCTGTCAAATAAATAAATAAAATCTTCAAAAAAAATTAAAGATTAAGCATTAAAAATATGCAGAAATTAGACAGATGACTGAATTAGCTGACAAAGTCTTTAAACCATTTATTAAATGTACTTACTGAAACATAAAGCAGCTTTTTAAAAACTAAAAAAAAACAAATGGAACTTCTAAAACTAAAAAATATAATAGCTGGAATGAAAAAATTATCTAATTAACTTAAAAGATTAGATATTGTAGAATAAAAGAATTATGAAATTAAACACAGAACAATAGAAGCTTTCTCTCTGAAGCCCAGAGAGAGAAAAGACAGAAAAATCACCTATGAAAATGCATCTCAAAACTGAATGAAAATAAAAACATTTTCATACAAATAAAAAATGATAGAATTTGAGGCCACCAGAACTGCATTACACAAAAATGTTAAAGTTCAAGCTAAAGGAAAACAGTAACAGATGAAAACATGAATCTATGTTTTCAAAGCTATAAAGACCACTGTAAATGATTAATCTGTGGGTAAATATAAAAAAACTTTGTCTCGTTTTTAAAATAATAGAATATTTAAGGCAAATATAACAGCAATGTGTTATAAGATTTATGATATATTTATAAGTAAAACATATGACAACAATAGCAGAAATGATGAGAGAATGGAAGCATACTGTCTAAGGTCTTATATTATATGTTGTGATATAATATCATTTGAAGGCAAAATGTGATTACAGAGTAATAATTTCAACATTATGGTAAACTCTAAACAAAGCAATATATCTAATAAACCAATAGAGTAAATAAAATAGAATACTAAAAATATTCAAAGATAAAATAGGAATAAAGAATATATAAGACAACTGCAAGTCAGTAGACTTAAACCCAAGCATATCGACAATTACATTAAATTGAAATAATTTAAATACTTCAAATAAAAACAAGATAACCATACTGGATAGAAATAAGACACCACTTCAATTATATCTCAATAAAACTGGGGAAAAAGAGTAAGACACACCACATGTTGTCCACAAAAACATATATACATTAAATATAAACACAGAAACGGGGGTGTCTGGGTGGCTCAGTCAGTGAAGCATCTGACTCTTGATTTCAGCTCAGGTCATGATCTCAGGGTCGTGAGATCAAGCCCCGTATCCAGCTCCATGCTGAGGGTGGAGCCTGCTTGAGATTCTCCCTCTCCCTCTCCCTCTGTCCCTCCCCCTCCCTCTCTCTAAAATAAAATTAAAATTTTAAAAAGTTAACACAGAAACCTATTAAAAGTGTCAGAAAAGATAAACCATGCAAGCACTAATCTAAGAAAGCTGTCATTATCTATGTTAATATCAGACAAACTAAGACTATAAGACAAGGAATATGTTCAAAAATAAAGAAGAAATATTCCATGATGATAAAATACAAAAGAACACATGTAATATCAAAATTAGTGGGACACTGCTAAAGCAGTGCTTAGAAGAAAATCTAGAGCCTTGACCCTTCCTTGATACATACATTAGAATACAAAAGAAAAATTAAATATAAATGGTCTGAGATTCCAACTCAAGAATCTACAAAAATAACAGCAAATCATAACCAAAAGAGAAGAATGTAAACTAAGAAACAAATCAGTGAGGTAGAAAACAAATACAATAAAGAAAATCAACAGAGTACATTGGTGATTCTTTTTAAAAGAATAGTAAAATTGATCATCTTCTAGTAGACCTGATCAAGAAAAAAATGAGGAAATAAACAAATTAACAATATCAGGGATGAAAAGGGGGTTATTCATTATGGATCCTATCAATATGTAAAAGATAATAAGGTATGAACAAATTTTGTCCTAATTTGAAAATTTTATTTATAATAGGATGAGTTCTTGAAAACTAACTAATTGAAAAACACAATTTATCAAAAAATAAAAAATGGTTCAGTGGGTTAAAGCCTCTGCCTTTGGCTCAGGTCATGATCCCAGGGGTCCTGGGATCAAGCCCGGCATTGGCATCGGGCTCTCTGCTCAGCAGGGAGCCTGCTTCCTCCTCTCTGTTTCTGCCTGTCTTTCTGCCTGCTTGTGATCTCTGTCTGTCAAATAAATAAATAAATAAATAAATTATTTTTTAAATAATAATAAATATATATATATAAATGGAAATAAAATAAATAATAAAAATAAAAAATAATAAATGGAAAATCCAAGTATTCCTATATTTGTTAAAGAAGTAGAACTCATATTATATTGAGGCACGTGGGTGGCTCAGTTGGTTAAACATCTTCAGCTCAGGGGTCAGGTTGTAGTCCACGGGTCCCAGAATCAAGCACCTTCTTGGGTTCCCTGATGAGCAGGGAGCCTGCTTCTCCCTCTCCCTCTGTCTTCCCCCCCCCCACCGGCTCCTGCTCGCTCTCACGCTCTCTCATTCTCTCTCCCTCAAATAAATAAATAAAATCTTAAAAAAAAAAAGAAAAGAAATAGAGCTCATATTGTAAAAACTTCCCACAAAGAGAACTGCAAGCTTCAAATACCTGTGGAGCTCAAAAACAACTCCTGCACTTCCACAGAGGAAGAGAGGGAAAGAAGAAATGAGAACAAGAAGTCTAAAACAGTAGCTAAAGTGAATATATGAATTAACATGGATCTCCGGTCCCCAGCCTCCCCTCTTGAAGTTAATAGTGCGACTTCATCCTCTTGCCATTTTGTACTTCAGTGCTGTAGCCCTTCCCAAGTTGTGAAGCCCCTCCCCAATCTTTTTCCCAGAACCCTCTGAAATCCCCTCTTTATTTCAAACAAGCTCCTCTATACTCTTCACAGATCATTCTTTCTACCTCTGGATTTCGGCTAAACACAATATTTCTAACAATCTACTAGAGGCTGAAATTTCTCTTTCGTACCCCTTTTCCTAAAATTGAGAGAAAGGAATTCCAAGAATTCAATTTCAAATTTTGCAGAAGGTGTGGTTTCCTATTCTTATCAATGCTACATCACCACCACTTTGACTTCCCTTTATATCATTAAAACATGTTCTGGAAAATAAAGAAACAGACTGGAGAGTAAAAACTGATGACAAAGAGATCAGTCAAAGAAAACTGAAACAGTTCATTAAAATATGAGAATTTAAGTCAAAGCAATGGTAATGGTAATCAGGGAGTAAAAAACAAAACCAAAGTTTAGATGCTGTACCACTGTCAAACTCTTTATCTTTACATATACTTTAACTGGAATTAATATCAAAAGCATCAATTTTCTTGGGGCACCTGGGTGGCTCAGTGGGTTAAAGCCTCTGCCTTTGGCTCAGGTCATGATCTCAGGGTCCTGGGATCGAGCCCCGCATTGGGCTCTCTGCTCAGCGGGGAGCCTGCTTCCTCCTCTCTCTGCCTGCCTCTCTGTCTACTTGTGATCTCTATCTGTCAAATAAATTAAAAAAAAATCTAAAAAAAAAAAGCATCAATTTTCTTAAGATAATAATAGAAGTAATAATAATAATAATAATAATAATAATAATAAAAGATAATAATAGAAGTGCCAACAACACATTACTCAGATACTGATTTATCAAAATAAGGCAGGTCCCCTGTAGTGTTTCCACAATTTATCTGCAGTTGATACCCATGACTAAGACATCATGACAACAAGGAATATTACCTGAAATGTCAGAAAACAAGTTTTCTTTAAAAAAAAATCTTAACTGAAGGTAGTAAACTCAAATGCCCCCTTGAAAATAATTATTTTTTAAATAATAATAAAGAGGATGGGAGGAAACTTTTGAGATGATAGATAGCTCTATGGCATAGATCATGTTGTTTTCACAGATGTATACTTACCTCCAAATTCATTGAGTTGAATATATTAAATACATACAGTTTTTACATGTCAATCATACCTCAATAGAGTAGCTCTCAAAAAGGAAAATTGTGTTCCTCTCTCTCTCTGCCTGCCTCTCTGCCTGCTTGTGATCTCTGTCTGTCAAATAAATAAATAAAATCTTTTTTTTTAAAAAAGGGGGGTTGCCTGGGTGGCTCAGTGGGTTAAAGCCTCTGCCTTCGGCTCAGGTCATGATCTCAGGGTCCTGGGATCCAGCCCCACATCAGGATCTCTGCTCAGCAGGGAGCCTGCATCCTTTTCTCTCTCTCTGCCTGCCTCTCTACCTGCTTGTGATCTCTGTCTGTCAAATAAATAAATAAAATCTTTAAAAAAATTGTATTTAATTTACCTGAGTTAGTATCATCAAAGATACACTGAAGCTACAATTTGAAAAAAATCACTTTTCCAGTGATCTTCCTCATGCAGATCACAAAAATGCTGGCTGGCTATAGGATCATATTGTTAGGTTTCTATAGACCTAGTCAAGTGTACCCACGTCTCCACCTGTCCCTCCACTTCATCAGAGGGACCCAACTATCCAACTACCTACCTTATGGAATTCACTGTGATATCTAATAATATCTTCCCCAAGTCAAGCTGTTCTGATGACATCATTGATGGATCTTTTCATCAGTCATTGTGATAACTACTGACAACATCTCTGGCAAATTCTGATACCATCCATTAACACTCTAGTTTCATTGTTGTCTTTACTGCCTCCACTTTGGCGCATGCCAAATACACTTAGACAGTATTGAGCACTTCTTAGGTGCCACCTCAGGTTCTCATGGCATCAGTGCCCTTAGTATTTCCTTTGCTCCAGCTACTGTACTGTACATTTTAAAATTTCATATTTTCCGGGGCACCTGGGTGGCTCAGTCAGTTACGCGTTTACCTTCAACTCAGGTCATGATCCCAGGGTCCTGGAAACAAACCCCACATGGGGCTTCCTGCTCACTAGGGAGTCGACTTCTCCCTCTCCTCTGCTCCTCCCCCCTGCTCATGCTCTCTCTCTCTGATAAGTGAAATCTTTTTTAAATAAATAAATTTAAATTTTTCTCATATCTTCCTCATGCTTCAATGTCTTCATGAACAGGCTGTGAGCACATCACCCAGGTGACCAGGTGGACCAATGAGATGAGGCTGACATCTGCCACCAGTCCCCCTTCTTTCCCTCTCCTGACTATGACCTAGTAACATTCAAATGTATCAGTGAAATCTCCTTATGCCTTTTGCTTGTGTACTCCCCCTTGAGCCCCAATATTGTCATTTACCCAGTAGGTCTTGACTCTCTTTCTTGGCTCTCTAACTGCTTGGTTGAGCTGGCTCCCTTGGTTCTTCTCTCATGTGGCCCCCTTGCAACATTAAGTGACTCCATCTCTCTAGGACTTGTAAGTATAATAAACTTTTTTTCCCTGCACCTCTCCCATGTCTCCTCTTGTGGCCACACCTGAAGGGCCCAGTGATCCAGAGGTTTAGATCCTTCACTGTCCAGTCCTTAGGCTGCCTTGAGCATCTAAAACTCTAGGAGTCATTGTGTGACTGAGGTTTTCACCCAAGTATGTGATCCTGTTAGTTATTCTGGGAATGAAACCAGAACTATTCCTACTGGGTATCTCCTTGACAAATCAGACAGGCTTTACCTGAGCACACTACTCCAGCATCCCAACTATGGGGGAAGTCTTGTCCACTAAAGTATTTGGGAGAATAAAGAGAACAGGCATTGAGAGTTGATTCTGTCCCTTCACAAAAAACATATGCAAGACAAATAGGCCCATTCCCTGATCCAAAATAAGCCTCTCTGCGAGCATCAACAGCATGTCCACATCCCAGCTGTCTGCACACGACATCTGCAGCCTTCAAGTACCAATCGTAACCATATACTGTGCCCCATTCTCCTTCATATTTCACTTCCACTCTCCCCTCACAGCGGTGGCTCCCATTCACCAGCCTCAGCTCCGTAACTGTAAGAGAGACACAGACACAGAACACAGGACACAGGAGAGATTTTAGGCTTTTAGTATGTTGGTATGTTGGTAAGTATTTAAAAATGAGCTCTCTAGGGGAGAAAAAAATCTTTCATGTATAGCATTTGTTGATTTCTGTGGCATAAATATTCCCACTGTGGTCAATTTTAAGCTACTGCTGTGACATCACTGAACACGGAGCTAGGAAGAGATGCACGCTGTTACTTCTCACAAGAGATAAGACCCAGCTCCATGCAAACCATTAAGGACAGGCCTTCAGATGACTCTAGATGCTGCCTTCCCGAGTAGGTATGCATAAGGCTGGTAGGGGTCCAAACTCCCCCATCTCAGTTACAGTTCATGGCCCAGGAAGTCAGTGGAGGAATATTCACATTCCTGCTCTGTCCCATAGGGAACCCTCTTATCCAGGTTTAGAAGAGAGGACTGTGGTAAGCAGTCTCAAAAATGTCCTGATTATTCCTACTTCCTGATATTCACACTCCTACATAATCCTCCTTGTACTTGAACATGGCCTAAACCTAATAACATTTATCTAGCAATGGGATATGGTAAATTTATTTTCTCACAGATAAATATAGAATATGGAAAATTTATTTTCTCACAGTTCTGGAGTCTGGAAAGTCCGAGATTGAGGCGCTAGCAAGTGAGTTTTCATTCTAAGACCTCTTCTCTTGGCTTATAAGCCACTGCTGTCTCACTGTGTGCCCACGTGGCTTTTTCTCCGTATGAGTACACAGGGAAAGATGGATAGAGATCACCCTCTTCCTCCTCTTATAAACCACCAATCCTATTGGATTAGGGCTCCACCCTTATGACCTAATTTAACCTTAATTACCTCCTAAATATCCTATCTCTGAAGACAGTCACAGTGGGAGCTAGGGCTTCCCACTGATTGAAATTTGAATTCAATCTGTAGCACCTGGGTAGGTCCATTCTAGGAAGGAAATGAAGATAAATGGGAAGGAGGTAAAGGAGATAGTAGAAGAAGGGAGATATCCTGTGAAGCTTACTCAGTTTTTTTTTTAAATCTAACATTGAGGAAAAAGTAAAAGATTGAAATAGGATCCTAAAAGTGTATAAGAAACTACTATTATTTATAGCAAAATCATCAAAATAATAAAAACATAAAATCATCAAGGGACACCTGGGTAGCTCAGTCAGTGGAGTGTCTGGTCAGCTCATGTCATGATCTCAGTGTCATGAGATCAAGCCCCATACAGGCTCTGTGCTGGGTATGGAGCCTGCTAAAGAGTCTCTCTCTCCCTCTGTCTTTTCCCCCTCCCCTACTCAAATAAATAAATAAATAAATCTTTTAAAATAACAGTAATAAAATAATGGATTCAGAGGCAGGTCCTGTGCTAAATGCTATAAACACAGAAAATAATTAGACAATGTTCTTGCCTTCAGGTAGCTTGTATCTATCTAGTTGGTGACACAAGTAAGCAGGTGATTTTATTACTCTGAAAAGTTCCAGGAGACTTCCTTAGTAATAGTAGGCTAGGTTATTTGAATTTATCTCTTGCGCTAAAAAGAAATAAAAAGTGGAATAAAACATATTAAAATGATAAAATGATCTTAAAGGATTAAAGATCTGATAAGATAAGAAGGAAAATCAGGTTAACGCTGAAGGGAAAATGGGAATTCATTGAGAGACAGGAAAGTGAATTGTGCTTTTGCCTGAGAATATTAGCCTATTCAAGAAAATATGTTTTTAATGGCCTTTGATGGCAAGGAGGCACAAATCAAATCCCAAACCCATACTCAGATGAGACATCTGACAGAAGACAATCTCCACAATAAGCTGGAATACCACTTGAAATAGCCATGCCTTGTATAAAATTACATTGAAAGCTTGAATCTCTAGATTATCTAGATAATATCAATGTTGCACTTGTATTAAGGTAGCCCACTATTAAAAGTGCCATATCATCATGGAAAAACTAAAATAAGATCCTCACAGAAGAAACTGCCTTCATGCTAGGCCTCAACTTACGTCTATAAAGAAATTTCATAAATAAAATGGCCAGTACATTGTCCAAAATAGACAAATACACAAAGAAACTGAGGTCCATTAACAATAACCAAGAAAAACTACAGAAACAGAGAGTCACTTCTGATATTACATATATTAAATGTTGGCTATATAAAAACCATACAAACTATAGTCAAATAAAAATAGTCTTAAGGATTCTTCAAGGAACCAAAAAAAAGCATAGAAAAAACTGTAAAACCCAAAAGAACTTCTATGAACGAAAAATATATTTGTAGAAATTAAAAATTTTTCATCAGATTAAATTCAGGTAAAGAGAATTATTGAAGTGAGCAGTAAGTTAGAAATTATCAAGAATGCTGCACAGAAGGA